ATGTTTACCTTAGTAAATAAAGCTTTTCCAATAGGCGTTAAGTTCTCATTTATATATATATCATTTGTAACTTCGTAACCGAGACTCGATGTTTTAACGGTTGACAGGTTTTTGCGGGCCTTGTACACAGCATCGCGAGCTCTTCTACTTGTGAATCTGATAATAATTTGAGAGGGGGAATTGTAACGCTGACCATAGAACTATAGTTCCATGCGCTGACCAACCGACGGCTTTCGTTTTCCGATACGATGCGAGACATCTATGTCCGACATGGTGATGTTTTTGTCCGCGATCTGAGCGATTTTCAGAGCTATTGCATCTGTATTTTCACTTTCTGTTTGTGGCACACCACTAATGACAAGGTTTTCTCTTCTTATATACTGATCTAAGAAACTTCATGATCCCGATACTATAGCTATTTTCAGCATTTTTGACCCAATTTCCAGATTTTTTGATAGGAGAAATCGCCCACAGACAGCCGGAAACTTCATGATCCCTATACTATAGCTCATTAGTCCTTTTTACAATAGAGATTCATAATTCAAAATTAGTACTACATTTTCAGTTCTAAACTACCAGATATGTCGAGCAGCAAAACATTCACATGTTACCACCACTAGTCCCAACCTTTAAAAGGTCATGTTTACTTCCACACACCCACTCATGAATAATCATGACATTTTTTGACAAAGAACAATAACCCAGATTCATTGTTAAAGTGCGCGTGTTCGAATTTCATGTAAATAAACAATGTATTTTACACGCATTGTATACATCCCTATGAGTCCTATATTGAAGAGGGCACGGCACGACGAATCCGCCCTTTAAGTCCCACTGTATGTCAATTGCCGGGCACAGCCATCTTAAATTTAGTGCTTTGTTGTCATCAGTCGCGTACAAAACTGTCAAAATAATGACACCCAAAATTAAAAAAAAAGAAAAAAAGAGAAATCAAAATATGGTTTGATCATGGAGCTAAAATAATCTTATTTTAGCTCCATGGTTTGATAGAGAGTGCTGGGAAATTCGGAATGAACTTAAAACTGCTAGCAAGCTGTTTCAGCAATATTTTGATCGTGACTGACTGACAGTAGTCAACTCTGAAAACTGTGACTCCCCCGTTCTTGATAATTTAAAAGTAAGTTTTCTCCTATATGCAGATGATGTTGTCATTTTATCTAAATCTGCTAAGGGGCTACAAAACTGTTTAAACAACTTAAAAATATATACGTCAAAATGGCGCCTGGCTGTTAATACAGAGAAAACAAAGGTTATTTTATTCAATAAATCAAACAGAGCCCTGAGCAATAATATATTCTTCTTCGCTGAAAAAGAAATTGCCATTGTTAAGCAAATCAATTAACTGGGTATAACTTTAAGTGCTAATGGCAAACATAAAGAGGGTATCAATAACTTAAAAAAATAAAGCTCTCTTTGCATTGAAATGCAAACTCGGTTATGACAACACACTAAACATACCCTTTCAACTCTCTTTATTTGACAAACTGATAAGACCCATTATTGTATACAGTAGTGATGTTTGAGGTGATGAAAGCACAACTAAGTCTGCAATTGAGGATGTCCATGTTTCATTTCGTTGTTTTATTCTTGGTCTCTCCAAATTCACACCAAAAATGGCTGTTTATTGTGAGCTAGGAAGGTACCCCATTGACTGTTTTATCAAGAAACAACGACTTAAGTACTTCAGCCGAGTAACAAACTCTGATAACACATTATTAAGAGAATCCTACTTAGTAAATAAGAATGTAAAAAGTAAATGGTTTTTACAAGTGTAGAAACCCTCATGCAAGATATAGATGTTGTCACCATTGTAAACTCAAGTGAAATAATAAATAAGAAAAATTTAGACTTTATTCATAAACAAATAAACAAATCATTTGAGAACCAATGGATTTTAGACATGCATAATGATAATAGAAAACAAACCTTGGCTAAAAACAAACTAAGAACATACAGACTTTTTAAACAAGATTTAAAAATTGAAAATTTCTTAATCAATATGCAGACATAGTAATTAGATAAAAGAACATGTGATATGTGCAGCCAAATATAATTGAGGATGAGCAACATTTTGAAATGAAATGTCCAGCTTACAGCCATCATAGGGACAAATTATAATCAGTGTATTAGGTTACAATTTGTGATCATTCTATATTCTGTATTGACCGTTGGTTGCAAATTGTTTATTCATATTTGTTTTTGATTTGTTTTATATTTTTAGAATAGTTTTTTTTTTCTTTTTAGATTATAGTTTTAAAATTTTTTTTTGTAAGACCCTTTTAACCTTTCCTAAGGATTTTATGCGCCTAATAAATATTATTATAAATGCATGCTTGGTTCTGATTGGCTTATAATGTGGGCGTGTCTAAGACCACTTATTTCAAAATTCCGTATACTATTGCTGTCAGCCCTATGGAGTCGGCGAATTCTGCCTGTTAATGCGGTCATGGCAACCTTTTTGAATCGCATTAATCTTTCGTTGATTCCTGTAATCAATTTAGTTTTGCCCGTGCCTGCTTGGCCCAAAATAAGAAGGTTGTGGCCCCCATTTTCATTTACTGCAGTCACGATGTTTTCCTCTGCAGTGGCCATGTTGTTTAAAATCAACAGTGAGTTAAGGGGTCTTTTACAGTCCCACTTTATTAACCAATTAGAAACAACCCAACAATGACTGACGTCATGCAGACTAGGGGAAAACGTGTATTTTGTCGCTAATTTGATCGTGATGGTAGTTTGAACAGATTAGCACTTAACTGTATTCAGTTTGTGTGTTGTTTTTTCTAGGGTAAATGATTGATTACTGTTTAAATTCGAATAATTGTGAAGCTATGACGTCACTCTGGTGGTAGAGTGTCCTCCCTTTTCGAACTTTGTTCTCGTCTAGGTGCTTTCACGGTCAGTCGACGATTGAACTGTGATTGGACTAAGACATGCGTATATCCGATGTTAACCAGCTAGAATTTGACGAATTTACTTCTAAATTCGGAAACGTCATCGAACATGCAACTCTCATTACCGCCGCTGTATGGTCAGAAAGGCCGTTCAGGTCGTTGACTCATCTACACGACGAGATCTGTAAATTTATTGACACGTTGCCAGACACAGGTAAGGGGGTTTGACTGTTTAAAATAATGGGCAAGGGAATAACAAATGCAAGCTAGACACGTAAGGAGAAACAAATGCGTGCAAAGTGATGCCACATTGAAGAAAATAAAAATGTACAGACACTAACAGTAACACTGCGAAAAAATGCACAGATCAAACTATTCCAGCCACCCTCGTGATTTTGTTGTAAATTGGAATATCACACATTGGAATATCAGTTATAGAAGTTTTTCGCAGATTGAGAACACGGCTATAGACTCTGTTCCATGCAGTTTTTTGCCACTGCACTGCTGTGACACAGCGAAAAAATGTGCAGATCAAACTATTCAAGCCACCCCCATGATTTTGAATGTTTCATCTTTAATACTTTATTTTTTCATTTTGTTTTCCATGTTTTATTAATTTATAATTTTTGTAGAATTTGTATGTTTTAAATATGTGTTCTAATACTTAGTGTAACCATTTTAATTCTTTCTGAAGAATTTTAAGTGTTTCAATAATCAATATTGATTCCTAAATGTTCACAGCGTCACAAAATGCATCTTGTGTGCAAAATACGGACCTGGAAATGGTTAAAAACAACCAAATAATTCAATAGATACATAGTACACCGAAAATAAATATACAAGTTCAATTTGTGTGTGTTTACTCAATGTTGAAATGACGATGTCTGACACCATGGTGACCAGTGATTACCACCTAGCAAATTGTTCCAGGGGTAAATGGTAATGAATACAATTTTAGGCCAAAAAAAAAAATTGGTGCTGAAAATTTTGCTCTGCAAATCAGATAAGGCAACATTTGATCTTGAGCTAGATAAGGGCCTGCTCTTTGAACTAAATGTTTATACTTAAAAGTAAGTAAGTAAGTTTTTTAAAACGTGGTATTGTAATACATATAAACTTTATGCTGAAATAAATAAAATAAATTTATAAAACGTTTTGGATACATTGTACACATGTACTTGAAACAACCCCCTCAAGATTTCAAATGGTCAACCCTTTTTCTGTTTCCATCTGCTCACTCTTAGTGACAAGGATTACTTTTCTGATTTGGTGAGCAAAGTTTTACTCTCCTAATTTTGCTCATCACTTCTTGGTTATTGAAAACCTGTTGAGCAAATAATGCCGTAATTTCTAATGATGCAAAATAAAAAATAAACATCAGCAAAATTGAAAAACATTGATGAAAAACTAAAAAATTCCTTTAGCGTACATTGGAAAAATAAAATACATGACTACAAAAGAGTAACAAATAAACTAAAAAAAGGATTAGTTTAAGGATTACTTGATACACATTAAAAATATTTAACTCTGAGTCTGGAAAAAGTCTTGTATAAGTAAATTACATTCACTGAGTTGCCAGCAGAAGAAAGGATTCCTCTTCTCTGTAACACAAATCAGATGGAATATGTCTTGCTCTGTCTATACGCAACACAACACCCTGAAAATAAATTCAGATTTATCTTGAGCAATAATCCCTGTCAATTCCTTTAGACCAATATTTACAAATCTGTTTTGAATCTAGATAGCAATACCTCATAGATATTGATGTCACTTAATTAATGATCATACAAATTGTGTTGTTTTCCTGGTAATAACATACTTACCTATCTGTAATCAAAAAATAGTTTGCCCATTTCATCGCATATATTTCATTAGGCCACACCGACTTAATTTTATGGATGACATCCGCGCACGCATTAGTTTTCACCTGTTCTCAAAAAAAAAAAAATCTCCTACGACAAGTCTCCACAGAACGCCGGCTTGTCATAAAACTCGTTTTGGACTATCTCAAAACGTGTCAGTTATGTCGTAAATGATCTTCTGCACATGCAAACTGTGTTGCCGGGAATTCCAACATGGCGACCACGCCACCAAAATACGTGAGCATAAAAGTTCAGAGGGAAAACTGAGGGATTGTTGTAGACTGATACGCAATTGATGATGGCCAGGGAGATGTGACGTTTACACAGCTATAAGGACATATTGTCCAGCGTGGCTGTCCCGCGATGCAACGATGAGAGAAATGGGATAGGAGTGGAGGAGGTGTGGCCTAGGGATGTGATAGCTGAGAAAGAAGAAAAGGCCTATTGTTGAAGAGATCAATGTGTGGGGTGTAAAGGAGTGCAAAAGATCATTTTTTTTTTTTTTTTTTTTTTGATACTTGAGATCCCTAGGCATGAGACACTAGACATACTTGCAGGGTTAACATGTAGGCTTCATTTCACCTGACAACACTGTTAAAGCTAACCCCAGATGTGTAGAGAGGAGCAAGCAAGGACATTTCTGTATCATTGCAATGTTTTGTTAGTTGTTGTCATAAAGTAGTGATATGTACATTCCGCCTTGACTTGTACTGAAAATGGTGTTCATGCTGTACCTAGAGCTTGTCTGAAATGGTTATACCTGTGACAGTAATACAGTACGAGATGTGTACATCAACATGTGCCTCCTACAAAATTATAAAGACTTGATACACTGTGTTCTGTGGTTCAAATCATAATACCAGCTCCGTAGTCTTGTGGTTTTAGCAGGATTTTTTTCTTTCGCCCTCTCGCATTAGTTTTGGGGTCTCCAGAGGATGTCATCCATAAAATTAAATCAGTGTTGTCTTAGGCCAGGAAAAAAAAATTCTGTTTCTTGTTTTATGGAATTTTTTTTTTTTTTTTTGAATACTGAGTTAAAATGGGGGAAATTTGATACAAGTGCAAGTACAAGCGCATTTTGGAATGCTTTAGAAGGAAAAAAAACGTCTGAGGCGCATAGTTCGAAATGATGGGCGCGGAAATGAGAAACAGAGTTTTTTTTTTCAGCCTTGTGTATGATTTTTGTTAGTTACTATTAATGTGAATTGTCACTTTAAAAGCATGTCATCATCCACAGAACTGTAATTAAACCTCTGAAACAATGACGTTTAAACTATATTATCATTAGCAGAAACAAAAAACCTCACAATCTTTTTGTTAAAAATAATAAGTTAGGGTAAGTACGGTAGGTCTATGAAATCACACCCAAGATCAGAAAGACATTTCTTAACATCGGTCTTGGGATCATACCATACCAAGTCTGGATCCTCGTCTAACACCAGAGTACGCACAGTGTTTGAAAGTTTGATCTGTATATCTTTCCTGTAGTTGGACGTACATTCACCATACTTTTGACGAAAAACCTTCAGTTGTGATACTGCAAATACTCTTAGTCTTGAAAACGTCTAATTAGACTACCCCCCCCCCCCCCCAGTATATAAACGGCAAACTTTAGCGCATTTTTCATAGCATCAATAGTTACAATGCCATTTTGTTATAAAGCTTGACTAAGAACCAGTTGCTAAGGCAAAACTTGTATCTTGTGAATATCACACATTGGAATATCAGTTATAGAACTAATAAAGTATTTTCGCAGATTGAGAACACAGCTATAGACTTGGTTCCAGTTTCCTGCCACTGCACTGCTGTGACTCGGCCGTAGGGTGCCTGGTGAGTCGCTTGCAGTGAGACTGGGGAAACTTGATAAAGTATTCAATTGTGTCTTCTCTGAAAAAAAGTACTATTGCTTTTGACCAATCATACATCATATTGGACATACAGTATACATATGCATTTGTTTCACAATCTGATTCAAGATGGCCAAATGACAGTCATTATAAGGCCAAAAATATACAAAAACCACACATGTTCACTATATTGGAACCGGATCTCAGTCATGCATGCATGGAGTGGACAGATTTTTTTCAAACTCAGTACATGCATTGAACACAATAGGACATAGATGCTCGTCATTATTTTTAGATTGTGTTTGGATTTGTTTTTAGAAAATGCAGTTCTGGATCCACATATCCAACATGCCTAGACCGATCAAGTTCAAACTTCAAACACACATCACACATTTTTGTCGCCATCAAATTTAAAATGGCTGTCAGATGGCAATGTTACTAGTATTTTAACAAATACAGTTACACAGAGTCTTATTCTTACACGTTAGTCAATATTATCGATATTGCCTTGGTAGTCATGCAATAACACAAACAGGGACATGACTTTTTTATAAACTTTTTAATTATGGGCCTATGCAGAGTCTGATCGAGTAGAGATACTGGTAATACTCTCCTGTAAGACATCTTGATATGCTGTATTTGCTGCATGCATGGAAGGTATTAACGTTAATACCTTCCATGCTGCATGTAACAGAGGTCGAAATACTCTGGTGCACACTGCACTATGCACATAGATTATTAGCTTGTGCAAATAAACTCAAAATATAATGTGCATGTAGAAATTAACACAACATTTGCTAATTATTAGTTGCGTTCACGCACAGCTCCTTAGCACAGGCTAAGAGGTCAAATTCCTTAGCCTGTGCTAAGAAAACGTGCGTGAACGCTTAGCACAGGCTAAGGAATGCTAAGTATGGGTTAAATCTGATCCGAATTTAAGACGCGGTCTAGACCTTAGCACGGGCTAACGAAGTATGCGTGAACGCTTAGCCCAGGGCTAAGCGCCCTCTGCGGCGACCTTTGGGTGTAAAAATTGTCCCATGTTCGTATAACGACACTATTCCACCAGTCATTACTCCGCGCTCGCTGCCACACTAATCGAGTCACTGTAGTAAAGTGTACAGGATGCAGCAGCTCCAATCGTAGACAAAATAAATTTGGTTCACTGTCTACGACATGCATTAATAAAACTCTGTATTCTGTTACGCCCGTTGTATACTGTTTATGTGCATCCAAATAAGTTGGGTCTGTCTCCTCTCGTGTTCCTGTGCACGTCGCTTCAAAATTAGACCGAAACCCGGGAACGAAACATGCCAGCAGCAGAAATAGAACCTCGCGCGTGTCATCCATTTTTCGTTCGTAAATAGCAGCTCACCAAAGGTCACCGACTAATGGCACCCCTTAGCCCGTGCTAACAACTGGCCCTCCCTGTGCGTGGACGCAATTGGGTCTAGCCGAAATGCAAATATGCTAGATAAGCCTAAATCAGCTTAAATCTTAGCCCGTACTTCGTGTAACGTGAACACAACTATATTCACTAACAACATTGTAAGACAACTCAATAAAAAAAGCAAATTCTTTCATGATCACATCGATCGAGAATCCGTAAATTTTATTTATACTTTAACAAGTTAGTGCAGGTAAAAAATTCTATTTCAATCCCTGATGTACTATAAATTACTTTTTTTTCGCTTGGAATTAATTTTCGCTATTTTCGCTGAAGGAATGATTCAGTGAAAATAAAATCCAGCGAATATACCTTTTTTCCTATATTTTACATTCAACTTGTCAAAAATCGGTGAAAATAAATTTCATACAAAACGCCAAAAATGTCTTGTCAGTGAAAATTAAAATAAAGTATTTTACAATAAATGAAACTGCTGTGTCTATGTTCAAAATAAGTCATATAATAAATATCTATGATGTATGAATTAATGCAATTTTTGTTTTATGTGCACTTCTGTGTGCAATAAATACAGTAAATACAACTTTGCATTCATTGTAGTTATAGATCCCCCCCCCCTGGGGAAAGAAAAGAAATGTTTATACCAACATAAGGCTTAATTAAACTATCAAAGTTAACAAGAGATTGTAATGTTTCTTTCAAAACCCAGTGAATTTTAAAACCTTTCAAATATCCCTGCAACTTAAAATTGGCTAAAATTAAATCAATTTATTTTCCTACAGTAAACTGTCATTTCTGTTTGTTGCACTGACAAATTTTTGAAATTCATCAATTTGATGGCAGTATATATTCTCGTGTATTTCATTTTACATAGGTTTTAAAAGTATGTTTGTTTCATTTGTCTGTGCACAGGTAAAGCTGGTATTCTAAGATGTCACCCTGACCTTGCAGGTAAGCTGTCACAAGCCGGTACATTGACAAGCGAATCCACAAAAGAACAGAGCGGTTCTGGACTACTGTCCCTAACAGAAGATGAACGGAACTACCTCCAACAATGCAACGCTAAATACAGAAACAAATTTGGATTTCCTTTCGTCATATGTGCTCGGGAGAACAAAAAGGACGCTATTATGAAGGGATTTAAAACAAGGCTAGATAACTCGATGGTTGATGAATTGAACACTGGTATCAGGGAAGTGAAGAAAATTGGTTGGTATCGACTATTGGACTTGGTTGACAAGGATTCACACTTATGATGTCCTCCATCTTAGATTATAAAAATCATTATGGATTGAGATAGACATATAATTAGACAAATCATTTTAATTTTTATATTAAAAAATAAACTAATATGAATATTTTACACAAATACGGTTATTTTCTTGATATCATTATTAACGGTAGCAATCTAAACAGCAAAACATTTATGACATTTTTATGCCCTAGTCAGACCACAAAGGAAACTTTTTTCCCCCGCCTAATGAATGTTTACAAAAGTATAGTTGTACAGTAGACAGAACTCTATAAAGAAAATGGTTGAACCCACTTTTACAGTTTACAGTGTAATCCAAGAGCAGTGGGTCCTCCTTGAATGTGTAAATGCAAATGTAAATTATGCAAACAAAATAATGTATTCAATTAACATGGTGACATTTTAGGGACTACTTTATTTCCTGCATCAAATTACATACTTTTTTATGGTGTTATATGACACCTGATCATTCAAGTATATTGATATGTAAAAGTTGTGCCATTTGGTGTTCCTGATAGTTTGATAATAGTGAAGTAAAGAATATCAGTAAGTCAATTGTGAATGCTCTCTGGTTTCTTTGATGTTTCCTCACAGTAATACTACACACAACCACAATAAAAGACAAAATAAGAATTATATATTCAACAAAACAGAATGGGAAAGGACAAAAATGTGGATGTGAAGAGCTGACCCTTGCGATATGGCGACTGACCAGTTAGCGTCTAACCTGAACGTAGTATGCACATAGAACCTCGGACTGGGTCATGGCTGCTCCAATGGTGAACCTGCCGTAATTGAAATTGATTAATAATCCTTATCATATCAATTGCTTGATTAATGGATCAAGTGCTCTCATATAGTGCAATCTGAGTCTTTTGTTAAAGTGAAAACAAAACATTTTCACCATGACTACAAAAATTTAACAAAATTGGGAAAAACATGAATAAAACTTTTGTTTTCTGGCAAATAAAATGAATTTGAGAAATAACATATTTGGCCACAACAAATTCCTTCTAAAAGCCCCTCATATTACAAATAGGGAAATAACTTATGATAGGAAAAAGGTCACCTTGCCCTGTCATATGAAATATGGCTTCTATGGCCAGCTATTAGCATATACACCTATGAATTTTGCATGTACCACATGTCAGATATGACTGTCGCATACGACTTGTGTGTCACTGAGAATGTTCTAGAACCGTACTGTGTCTGGGTGGAATATTGTAGATTTTGTTTAGAAACTGGTTGAATAGGTAATAAAACACTGTAGGAGGCAATAGAAGGTAATGGAACATTCTAGAAATTGGTAGTAAGTTCCAGACTCATTATGTATGCTGATGTAATGGTCTATTTATAAACTGTGGGTATATATAGGGGAGTTGTTTTGCCATTTTGGTATTTGAACCATCACACCTGTACTATACCAATTACGGTAATATTACGTTGCATGTGACAATGACAATATGCCTTCAATATTAATAATAAAATAGTAATGCAACACCACACCCTTATTAGTCCCCGTTCAGGTGAAGTCTGAAAGGGGAGTACGAGTTTTAATTTCTTTCTCATTTTTAAGTTATCTCTCACATTTTCTCAGAGACTCTGCAGCAGATGTCAAGGAAAATTGGCAGGTTGATGAACAAGTCTGTGTTACATATGCACGTAATTTTTTTTTCCAAATCTGAAAATCCTAAGTGGGTATTTTTCAAGATTTCCATCCAAAATTACCTTTCTCTACTACACTGACAGAGCAACTGAGCATGCTCAGAATAAATTGATTCTGTTAAATTCAGATTCATGAATTCCTGATTTCTGATTCACAAGTTTTACCAAATGTATTCGATCGGTAGTGTATACTTTTCAGAAATCAGAACCAACTTTGCAGAACCTCAGAACCCAATTTCAAAATAGCTTCCTTATCATCGGAAGTCATCTTTTAGGTTATTATTAATATGACCACACGCTACCCGAAACATATGCAAATTAGCTAAATCAAGTTACAGTTGTATTATCAAATTTCCTTTGATCTCAGCAACCATTGAGTCGATTTTATTTATATTTGGTATGATTACACCTTGACACAAGTAGATGTGCGTCTGACAGTAATGGCCACACCCTCCCAAAAATATGCAAATTAGATCAATGCAGTTTTTTGCTCTTATCCCAGCAACCATTGGGCCAATTTAGTTCATATGTGGTATGATCACACCTTGAAATGAGTAGATGTGCTTTTGGCAATAATGACCACACCCTCCCAAAAATATGCAAATTAAAACAATGCAGTTATTTGAACTTAGATTTGACCCAAGTCCTGGTAATATACTAAGACCTTAATTAACAAAGAAGTCATGTACATCAAGGTTCACTCAGATTTATGAATGCATTTTCTTGAGCAAGTATACATGTATGACAAATAGTTTTGTTGCACTTGTGTACTCTGAGATTCTGAACATGGGTCAGTGGAAGTTTTTAGTTGTCAGTACAAAACTAGATTATGGGAAATCACTTTATGATGAGTTGTAACCACAGAGAGTACATATTCATTCATCTGTTTACAGATGTTCCTTGTTAATAATAACTTTATTACACAACCAAAACCATAGGAGGGTTTAGTATGGTAAAAATAACAAAAGACTAAAATAATAAAACTAACTAAATAAAAGGACAAAATAGAAAAAATATACCGGTAGTATAAAATACTAAAACTGACATTGCATAGAAAAGACATTGGTTCTCATGGATTTACACTTTCTATCCTCAAGTTGGATTTTTTCGGCAACCTAAGTCTATTTCTAGAGTGTGATCACTTAGTTGAAATCTTGATAACATTTTTTTGAATTTCCCTCCCCATTTTTACCACTTGATTTATTTAGTTGATCTTTCCAGAATAAAGAATACTTAATGCATAATTTTGATTTATTGAATCTTATAATTGTTTTATGTTATTTATTTTAGGGTTGTCAGACTTTAAATCTTCCAGTTCACACTGCTCTAAAATGTTTTCAACATTTTGTATCCAAGAAGTATTTACTTTCATTGATTCAATTAATGCTGACTTAAGGAAGTGGTTATTTGGCAACATGTGAAGTCTATACCAATATTTCATTTGTAAAATACAACTTTTAATTCTTATTGGTATTCTGCCTAATTCCCCCCTAATACCTATAGTTGGGGTTACTTTATTTACTCCGAGTATGAACCAGTAAAACTGACTGCATATTTGTTCAAGACTATTAACATGGTTTGAAATTTCACATGCCCAAACTTCAGCTCCATACAACAGAATTGGTGAAATTAATTGATCAAATAACTTCAGCCATAACTTAGGGGTCACCATCTTGTGATGCAACACTGTATGTCTGATAATGAACAGTGCTTTCCATACTTTTTTTTAGCATTTGTTGATTTAGTTTAAATTTTCCGTTAGGTGTGAAGATTACACCAAGGTAACAGAACTATTTTACTGTTGTGATAGTCTCATTATTCAATATAAAGTTATTTTTAACTAAATAAATGGTTACTTTTATTGAATAGCATAATTTTGGTTTTCTTTATATTTCCTTATATTTATTGTGAGCAATAACTTGAAAATTTATTTAAATAGTTTTGTAGGCTTCAGCACTTTCTGATCATCAGCATAGAAAATGTCATTCAGTGGTGTATCATTAATTAAAACAGAATTATCTTTTTGTTCACCAAATACAGTAGAAAAATCATTAATGAAGATATTGAAAAAAAATCATCCACTATACGTATACAAATAATGTTTATTTATATACGTATAGCGGATGATTTTTTTTTAAAATTAGTATTTATTGATTTTCAGCCCCCAAGTCATTGACGCTTCCTGTGATGACACAACGCCCCCAAGTGACTGTGGTCCGACGCGCGTCTTTCATGCATCTCGCAAGATCTTGCAAATGTATAGAAAATCACCTATTGACCCTGTCGAATGCTTTTTTGAAGTCGATAAAAGCACAATAAAAACGTCCCCGTTTGGTTGTAAGATATTTTTGTACCAGTGTGTGAATAATAAATACATTATCTATGGTACCAGTACTATACCCTGCCCTGAAACCTGCTTGTTCTTAAGTAAATTCAGTAATTTCATATTGGGAACTAGCCAGTCTCAACACATCTTTTTGGAAAATATCAGACAAATTACAATATTTTGCTCTTTTATTATTCTGCAAATTTTGTCAATAGTTCAATATATAACAATGTAACAATATACATGTTGTAAATATCTGACTCGCACTTGACTGATTTGAGCCTTAGCAACAGCGCCATCTATGACACAAATATATTTGCTTTCGTTTTTAACCGCACAACTCGCGAAAAACTCGAGTCCATTATAGCACCATTAACAGACAAGTCATTCAAATCCTGCTTCAAAATGAACCAAATACTTTTTTCGGAATCATGTATCCCATTGCGAATTCATCTAAAGATATTTGATGCAGTGATTAAACCAGTCCTTCTGTGCTGTGCCGAAATTTGGTCAGGTGACACAGTTAAACACACAAAAGATCTGTGCAACTTTGCAGCTCCAATGAAATAACAACACACCAAATTTTGCAAGGTTTTGCTGAAACAAATAGCAGGGCTCCCGATCTAGCTTGTTTACTTGAGCTAGGGAGATACCCCCTTGTCATAGAAAGCGCTAGGCAAATGATAAAATATTTGATGAGGATAGGGAACTTGAATATGCCAGAAAATACGCCAATGAGCCGCGGCGAAGCGTATATAAGCTTGGTTTGAAAATGGACAATTTAAGTACACAGCATTTGGTATATAGTGTGATTCAAATATTAGATGAATTAATGAATCTGGAAAAACAATGAGCTAAACACAGTGAAGCCTTAATAAAAGACGTTTGTGTAAAACTTGAAATACAATGTCGAAAAAGATGTAAGGAATGTATGCACAGCGACGATAAAGGCACAGAAAATTAAAAACAAATTTTTCACTAGAAAAATACTTGCAAATAATAAAAACCCACTATATCGCTCTGCAATGACCAAACTGAGAATAAGTGCCCATCGCTTACATATTAAAATGGGAAGGTACAATAATGTACCAATCTCTGATAAAAAATGTTCAGTTTGTGAAATTAAAGAAATTGAAAATGAGCAACACTTTTTACTATCATGTCAGTTTTATTCTAAAGAAAGTGAAAGTTTGTTCAAAATACACAACATTATTCATGGCCAGAAAACAATGAGCAGTTATTAATTGATATTTTAAATAATAAAGAAGAAAACTTTATAAATGATTGGAGAAACACATCTATAACTGTTTTAATATACCAGAAAATTCAATTAAAAGTGAAATACTTTTTTCTATGTTTAGAAATTTGAGCGTCTTGTTTGATTTTTTTGTTTAGTGTTAGTTATTTTTTATATGTTTCCAGAATGTATTACTTTATTGAACTTTTCATCAAAACCTCAAATATGGGGTACGATGATTCTATTATATTCTATTCTATGTACTGCCAAGTCAGCGAGCTACACACATGGAGCTCCATGCTACACACAACCCCGCAAATAACGTTAATAATAA